CAGTTGTATGACAATGAATGAAATTATATGAACAATTGTGTGGGTCTGCAAATTTCTTTAACTTGTAATTATCAAATTTCTTTGATAAAGTTCAATTAACTTACTGTTATATGGCAAATGATTGTGAAGTCCAGTATGTAAAATTATTAAAAATAAAACAATTAAGGATACTTAGGGACAAACAGAACACACTTAAAAAGGATAAAACAGACATATTTTAAAAAGGGGGACTTAAAAGCACTACGAGTTTTTTTTTGTTGTCTTTCGTACGTCTTTCTCCGTTGTCCGACACCTAACTTCCATCCTCTTCTATCGTGGCAATCTTCCGTTGATAGATTCCATTCGCTCATTGACTTTTTTATGTTTTGCTGCCACTGTAGTTTGGATCTTCCTCGCTTTCTATTCCCTATTGGGGTTGAGTTCAGTATTTTTTTGGGCCATCTAGTATTTTGCATTCGCTCTACGTGTCCGTACCAGGTAAGTTGTTTCTTTTCGATATCCTGGATTATCGTACCTTCTATTCCCTCGATTAACATATTACTATTGTGTAAACGACCGCAAGAAGTCGGAACTGAAAAGAATATTCCACTCTGCAAAATAAAACTGGCGCGCAAAAATATTCTGTTCTGTTAAATCTAGTCCTCCACTGTCGTGCAAACAGGACTGGCTTGGCTACTAATACCAGCAAACGCAGGCGTGTGTAAACTCGCCTTTAGCTACCAGTAAGCGATAAAGGGTTAAGCTATGAATTTTACAATACGCGAAAATATTTACATTCTAAATATCTAAATCCTTAACATATAATAACAACATAATAACTGAGCTATAGCGACAAGTAAAATAAGAATTACGCTTTGCATTGTCGCAATATTGACTGCAATTATTTATTCCATACCAAAAGTTGTAAAGTCTTTATATTAGTTTTTTATTGTAACTTACTGGAAAGTATATATATGAATATCATCCTGATCTCGTAATCCTTTATATGCAAACTTCACTTCCTTCCTCCAGTTATTGACGGTAGATAAAGGGCATACTACTAGTACATGTTTTGTATCTATTTCTTCGTGAGTAAATAAAGTGTGAATAAGAGACAAAACCTGCAAAAATATTAATTTAAATACTTCAGAAATCAAACTCTATAGTTATCCATATAGTCCGCCTTCCAGCTGAGGCTCAGTTGCAAACTACCAGCGGACTAACAGATAACAAATAGTGGATGCCTTCAGATATAAAACTTAGCTGCTAATATATTAAATAAGCAGTCCCCGACCAAGCAGCGACGATTAAATTAAAAGTAACGATTTATTTATTGCCCAGAAACCGGTTGAAGATATGCAAATGAAATTTAATGAAATTTAAATAATGCAAATGAAATTTAAATAAAAAAGGAGAAACAATTATATCAGACAGATAACTGAATATCGAAAAATGAAACGAAATATTGTTTATTTGGATGAGACCTGTTATGATACTCATGACTAGAGACTGGACTATGCAAAATGCATGTGCATATATATGCAGCCTATTTGTGGCTTTATAAATGAATATGCTATTCATATTTACTTGATTAACAGCATAATGCCACATATTTGAAAATATCACATAAATAAAATGGTTTTCTGTACATATTCAGATAATAGTTTCTTGGAATTATTCATAGCAGGTACTAGGTAAGGTAACTAATTTTATTACAAATATCTACTATATCTACAAGTTTTATTGTTTGGGAAAACTCATCTGGGAATTATTTATCAGAAGAATAGGGCCAACATGCAAGTAGGTATTATACAGTAAATTCGTTTTTAAATTCTTTTTACCAGCTGGCAAAGCAACTTGTAATTGTGAATATTGTGCTTATAAAATAAAAATAATTTCTTTTTTGAAAATATGCCGAAAGTAGCGAAACAAAAATCAAGTTTACTGCGGAGTTGGGTTGGTGGCAACAGTGAAAAGAAGATTATAGACAATGAAAGTGTTTTCTATACTATTTGTGATAAAAAGGTGAGTCCACGTATATTTTAACGATTCAAAAATTTAATTAAAACCTCATTTTTGCAAGAAAATCGGTATACCTATATTAAACATGTAACAGTTTGACTATTGTCGGTAGTTTTAGTTTCGAGAAAAAAAAAATATAAATTATCTTAAAAATTTGAAGTCCATATTATTGCATTAGACTCATATTTACTAAACCGTTTTATTACAGATTCCACGTGAAAAAAAATTCCAAATTTCACATCACCTGAAAACAGCTCTCCACCAATATAAACTATCTAAGGACTTCAAGAAACCACGCCAGCAGCTTCTGCAGAACAACATTATTCAAAATCGTCACACATCGACGGGACACGAAATGTTTGCAAAAGATGTATGCAATTTTTATGTAAGTTGCAATATCCCACTGTATAAATTGGATGGCAAGGTGTGTCAAAATTTTTTGAAAACATATTGTAAAGTTGAAAATAAGCCAGTACAGTTACCAAGTTCTTCAACTCTTCGCAAGAAATATGTAAGGGCATCTTACAAAGACGTTATTGAAGGTACTAAAAGCCGGGTAACAGATGAATATCTGTTGATATCTGTCGACGAGACTACTGACGCCAAAGGCCGGCAAATCGCAAGTTTAATTATTGGAGTTTTAAACAGTTCAGCTAATGACTCCAACAAGTCGTATTTAATCAGGGTAAAATGTTTAGAAAAAACCAACTATGCAACATTTGCTCGATTTGTTAATGAATATTTGACAAATTTCTTTTTGCCGAGTCAAGTACCTTCTGAAAAATTTTTGCTACTAGTTAGCGATGCCGCTTCCTACATGGTTAAATCTGTTACTAGTCTTAAGATTTTTTTTCCGAATTTAGGAGATGCTATATAGGGAGATGCTTCCCGATATCCCTTTGCCAACGGAACCAGTGTTGACTAGATGGGAGACGTGGTTGAATAGTGTCATATTTCTTGCAAATAATTACATTGATATCAAAAATGTTATATCAAATTTTGATCCTTCTTGTTGTATTGCAGTTCAGAAATATCAAAATATTTTTAGTGAGAATTCTGTTGAGAATGAACTGTTCTATATAAAAAAAAATTTTGACATAATTGTAAACTCTATTACAAAACTAGAGATTCAAAAATTATCTTTAAATGATAGTATTTGCATTGTTGATTATGTCAAAGAAAGAATAGTAAACCTTTCAGGGACAATTGAAAAAAAAAATAGATAAATTTAGTGAAGTTTTAAACCGAAATGAAGGCTTTTCTTTATTGTGATCAATAAATAACAGAATCAATGGAAGCTTTAATGAAGTTATTAATATGCATCCCTCGCTAGTGTCAAATTTTAGATTTGCGCCAATTACATACTGTGATGTTGAAAGATCGTTTTCTTCATAATAAACACATATTAACTGAATCTTGAAAATATGGAATGTAGTAATAAATAAACACTCTCTAAGTTATACTATAATTTTATTTCTCACCAAATTTCAAGCCCTAAAAATTAAAAAATACTTTTTTAAAGTGCATATATTATATAAATGCATATTGCATATAATAAAGGCATATTTGGTTACTTTTTAAGTGCATGTTGCATGCATATTTTAACCATTTTTTAGAGCATATAATCCAGTCTCTAGTCATGACACCGTGAAAAAAAGTAGGACGTGACACCGTAAAAAAAAGTTGGATGAATAATAACAAAAAGCGTTTTCATTCAATACTGTCCAATAAAGGACAGGGAATTATAACTTTACACTGCGGTGCAGAAAATGAATGCATCGACAATGTATTATTGATACCTGCAAAAAAAAATTAAAGACGTGAATCTAGATTATCATGACGATATGGAGGGTTCAATTTGTGAATCAAGGTTTGATCTTCCAGAATTATATATATATATATATATATATAATATATATATATATATATATATATACATCCCACCATCATTTTGAAGTCTTTTCACGTTGCAGTAATTTAGCATCACCAAGAAATACTATCACATTCAAATTATAAGTCATGTATATTCGTTTAGTGTATCTTTTTAGGCTTGACACCGTTGTCAGTGTTTAAATTTTTCGATTTTTTTATATATTTATTTTTTTACATTCAACAGACATTTTAACTCCCTATAGGTCAAATCATTGTGTCTTGCGTCAATACAGTATCACGAGATGTTGCCAAAATATATATATTTATTTGAAACATAGACATATATATCGATCCGTTTTCGTTCACAGACCGATAGGTCTACAACCTTACCGACCGCCCCAACCGGTTTAGGGTTCTCGGATTTATTATTATGGTTTAGTTGCATATTTAATTTAGCAGGTAATTTTTCCCAGAGAATTGTGAAAAATTATGAATGAACGATCGAAACGAATTTTGCCGCTGGCAGCAACGGATAAGTAATATTTGTATTATTATGGTAAAATTGACAAATACGAGAAAAACGTTCGTCTCCAATAAAATATGTTGATGTACAGACGGTGCCAGTTAGTTTTTTAAAATTAGTATTAATTTTTGGTTAAATTTTGTTTGTTTATGTTGAATATAATTTTTTTGTTTTAAATTAAATTTAAAATATATTGTATATGCTACCAGTGCACTGTTCATGTTTATTTGTTTTCTATTAAAATAATAAATAACTATGTAAATGTATAATTTTTGATTTACTATAATAAAATTTGTGGAAATGTTTAAAATGTTTGTGTGCTTTAAAAGTTAAAAATACTTAAAGAAAAATAAAAAAATAATAATAAAAAACTTTTTACATTAGAATGAATAACTGATACTAATTTGCAGCACCTTCTTCTTCTTTTTCTTTTGGCATCATAACCCTGAATGGGTCTTTGCCTATCTGGCTATGTCCTTCCATTCAGATCTCTCTTGTGCCCTTCTTCTCCATTGTCTCATGTTCATTGTTTTCAGGTCGTCTTCCACGTCATCCAACCATCTCGTTCTGGGCCTTCCTTTTTTCGCTTTCCTATGGGCTTCCATTGTACCATTTTCTTTGTTGTTTTTGCATCGTTTTGTCTCTGCACATATCCCAGCCATGACAGTCTTTGACTTTTCACAAATCTTTCATAACCTTCATTTAACTCATTAACCTCGTCGTTTCTCCTGATTCTCCATGTGCCATCTTCCTCTTGTACCGGGCCATATACTTTCCTCAGTATTTTTCTCTCGAATGTCCTTAGTTGGGCTTTATCTTTTTTCGTCATTACCCAAGTTTCACATCCATAGGTTACTACGGGTCTAATCAGTGTTCAGTAGATAGTCATTTTGGTTATTTTGTCTAATAATTTCAATGTCATCAATATTTTATTAGCATAGTATGTACGATTCCCGCTGGAAATACGTGCATTAATTTCGCTACTTACGGAGTTCTTCTGATTGATTTCTGTGCCGAGATATGTAAAGGCATCCACTCATTCGATAGTATAGTTGTCTATTGTGATATTATTTTCATTGTCAGTTATTCTTTTGACTGTCATATACTTCGTTTTTGTTTCGTTTATTTTGAGACCTCTTTTCTTGCTTCAGGATCAATTTGTTTGAACACTTCCATTAGTCGTGGCTTATTCCTACTAATGATGGCTACATCGTCTGCATATGCAGTAATTTGTAATGATTTGGTGTTTATATGGCCGGTTATATTAGTTTTTCTGATGACTGCCTCAAGAACTAGGTTAAATAGCATGGTTGATAGGGCATCTCCCTGTCTTACTCCCATGTTGATGTTAAACAGGGAAGTCAGTTCTCCATCTACTCTGACTGCGGCTTTTGAACCCTGCAACGTCATTTTTATGAGGCTGATGTATTTCTTAGGTATACCTAGATTACAAAGGTCTTCCAGCATTCTGTCTCTTTTCACACTATCAAAAGCTTGTTTAAAGTCTATATACATATTATATAGGTCTATGTCGTATTCATAAGCTTTTTCTTGTATCGTTCTTAGTATCAATACGTTATCTGTAGTGGCTCTATTTGGTCTGAATCCATTTTGATAATCACCAATTATATTTTCGGAGTATTCTAACAATCTATTGTAGATAGAAGAAAGAATAAAGAATTTTGTATATTACATTTAGCAATG